TCTGCCCCGGGTGAGGTGCGGGAACCTGCGGCTGTAGCCGCAACCCGTCCCGGAGGTGTCCTGTCGCCTGTCGCCGCCGCCGGCCCCAGCGCTACCGCTGCCTCTGCCGTCCTGCCGAGGCCATGTTCGCTCCGGGCTTGCCCTTCCTGGTGCTCTTGGTGGCCTCGGTCCAGAGCCATCTCGGGGTTCTGGGGCCCAAGAATGTCTCACAGAAAGACGCCGAGTTTGAGCGGACCTACGTGGACGAGGTCAACAGCGAGCTGGTCAACATCTACACCTTCAACCACACTGTGACCCGCAACCGGGTGAGGGCTGGGGCAGGGTGGGGGCGGCCGGGACTGGGCGAGCAGGCGGAGGAGGCCGGGCCCTCCTGCCAACTCCCTGCACCCGGAGGAGGCTGCTCAACAGCCGCCCCGCTTCCCAGAAGCGCTCGGGGTGCCTTGACAAACCAGTCCCAGACCAGTCCCGTGCCTTTGCCCCCGTGTTTCCTTGAAGCGCCAGCTGGACGGTTTTTAAAGTTGTCTCATTCCCATCCTGCTTCCATCCCTCCCTTTCCCGGTGTGGTCTGAAGCTTGGTCTAAACTCCAGATTTGGACAGTTCTGTAGGGTCTGGGTGCAAGAAGCGGGCTTACCCAGAACACCCCAAGGGAATGAGATGGACCCAGAACTGCAAGGCTCTGCCTGGGCATGTTACAGCGGGGACTCCCCAGGGAGATGAAGACAGGCCTTCCCAGCCTTCTTCCAGCCTCAGAAAGCCAGTGGGCCTTGGGGATTGAGGGCGGGAAGATCGCTGAGAGTGGGGAGATAGGAGCAGCTGCAAGTTGGGTGGGAAGAGACAGAGTTTGCCTCACTCGTTTCTTCCCCAGCCATGAGTCCCTGGGAAGTCTAGACCCCATGAGAGCTGAGATCAGGACACTTCCGCCCTGGTGGTGTGGTCTCATGCCGAGGCCCCTCTTTCTCTGCATGACTGGTTTTACTGGGAAGCAGTGGAGCTGAGAGCGGGGAGTCTGATCTTTTTTCAGGATGGAAAGGCTGTGGTTTCTTTGGTGGGCCAGGAGCTGCCTTCAAAGCCCGGTTCTCTGAAGTTTGATCTCCTACTCGATTCCTTTCTTCCTTTTTTCCCATATTTGGGGGTCACCCTGAGAGCTGGGGCACTGCCCCTTTGGGAAATGCTGCCCTAAGGCTTGAGCCCAGTAACAAGCATTCCCAGAATGTACTTACTTCTTTTTCTTTCCTTAAGCTCCCATTGTCCTACATACTTTCCTCTGCAGCTCCAAGGGTGAGAATGTGTTTACCAGTGGGGAAATCGAGGTGCAGAGATGTGAAGTGACTTCTCCACAGCCCTGTCCCTTGTTCAGAGCAAGTGCTATAGCGTGGCTTCCACCTCCTACCCTCTCCCAGCCCCTTCTTCCTCCCCTACTCCAGCCTTCTGGGCTGGGCCCCTAGATTAGTTGATCCGGAGCTGCCTGCTGGTTTCTGGCTCACAGGGAAGGTGGTTGAAGAGCAAGAGCGTGTCTTGCTCTCCAGTGTTTGCATATGTGCCCGGAGTGTGTGTGTACATGCACATATGTGTGCAGACCTGGGTAGACGGGCATGGGGTATCCTGGAGACTCCCGAGGTCTCGTATTTCCTGCTAGGGTGTTAGACCCTGTGGTTGCTTGGGTTCTGCCGTAGGAGCTGGTCTCTCCCAAAAGCCTTTCCTCTCAGCACAGGCCCTGCCAGAGGTCAGGGGTGGTTCTGCAGAAAGAGGGTAGGTGGCCTGTAATTCTGGCTGGCCAGGATGAAGAAAGAATGCAAGGACCAGCAGTTGGGGTAGCGTTCATATCACTGGACTCCCATTTTGTTGACCATGGTTCGAGTCCCAGACCCAGTTGACTTAAAACTCATGCTGGGTGCGTGTGTGCCCAAAATCCCAAGAGGAGATTGGAGAAGGGATTGCGGTGTGGCCATCTCCCCTGAGGGGCGATTTCTCACCTTCTGTCTCTCTGTTTTTCTCTGTCTCCAGTGAGCACACATACCGTATAGCAAAACTTTCTTCAAAAAGAAGGAAAGAGAGGAAACCAGCAGTTAGTGTAATGGCTATGTCGCTGGATTCCCACATAGTCGACCGCGGTTCGCATCCCGGACCCGGTGGCTTAGAATTCACGCTGGGCGCGTGTGCATGCGTGCCCAAGGTCCCGAGAGGAGAATGGAGGAGAAGGGATTGTGGCGTGACCATCCCCCCGGGGGGTGATTTCTCGCTTTCTGTCTCTATGTCTCTCTCTGTCTATCTGGTGAGCGCACACGCCTTATAGCAAAAACCTCTCAAAAAAAAAGAAAAAAAAAAGAGAGAGGGGGAGGGAGGGAGAGAGGAAAGAAGGAAGGAAAAAAGGAAGAAAGGAAAGAAGAAAGGAAGGAAGAGAAAGAAAAAAGAAAGGGAACAGTGTAGTGGGCATGGGGGAGGGCAGGGCTCCCAGTCTCTGGAGCCCCCTGCTCTGGATGGCAGAGGTTGACTTAGGGACATTTCTGTGTCATTCTGCAGACTGAGGGCGTGCGTGTGTCTGTGAACGTCCTGAACAAGCAGAAGGGGGCGCCTTTGCTGTTTGTGGTCCGCCAGAAGGAGGCTGTGGTGTCCTTCCAGGTGCCCCTAATCCTGCGAGGGCTGTGAGTAGGACCCGGAAGTCTGGGAGGGGGGCGGCCAAGGGCAGGCCTTGCCCAGAGCCTCACCCAGGAGCTCCTGTTCCTCCTCCCCATTCTCTCGTGGGTGAGGCTGGTCAGTGGCTCTAGGGCCAAATCTGCCAGCCTGCAACCTGTTAGCCAAGGGTCGGGAGGTGGAGACCAGGGCGGAGCAGCTGGGGTCTCTCTGGAAGTCTGGCCAGGACAGCCGCCGTGTCCTGACTCTGTGCTCTGGGCCGTAGCTATCAGCGCAAGTACCTCTACCAAAAGGTGGAACGGACCCTGTGCCAGCCCCCCACCAAGAACGAGTCTGAGGTCCAGTTCTTCTACGTGGACGTGTCCACCCTGTCACTGGTCAACACCACCTATCAGCTTCGAGTCAGCCGCATGGATGACTTTGTGCTCAGGTCTGCGGAGTTGAGCAGGAGGGACTCCGGGAACTGACCTCCTTCCCAAACTCCGGGAGTGACCGCCGAGGCCTCTTGTCTGTCCCGCAGGACCGGGGAGCAGTTTAGCTTCAACACCACAGCAGCCCAGCCCCAGGTAAGATCCCCGCCCTCAAGAGGAGAAATGTCCACGGAGCTCCGAGAGGTGTGGTTGGTGCTCTTTGCTGGGCCTTGCGAGTTGGTTGTTTTCTCCGAGGAGGGGCTCTCTGGAGACAGGGGTCCTAGCCCTGAGGTGGTGAAGGACAGACAGCGAGAGACAGGGTAGAGGCCCGGGGTCCGACTGCCTCTGCTGCTCCACCTCTTCGGCCCTGTCTTGAGGGCCCTGCTGAGGTCAAAGGGAATGGTGTACAGAAGACGATGCTGTTGGGTCAGGGTCCTTCGCAGGCTGTCCCTGCCCAGCCCTGGGGGGACCTGGGCCCTCACTTAGGGAAGACTGTTCCTGTCGAGGGGGACAAGGAGAGTGTCCACATAAGACGCACTCCCTGCCCTTCCTGCGCCCTCAGTACTTCAAGTACGAGTTCCCTGAGGGAGTGGACTCCGTGATCGTCAAGGTGACCTCCAGCAAGGCCTTCCCCTGCTCCGTCATCTCCATCCAGGACGTCCTGGTAAGTGACCTGCCCCTGTATACCCCGCCAGCGAGGGCAGGGATGCTCACGGGAGGGGTTGGACCCATGACCCCCTCCATCTGCCCATCCCTCTTCCCTCTGTAGTGTCCCGTCTATGACCTGGACAACAACGTAGCCTTCATTGGCATGTACCAGACCATGACCAAGAAAGCGGCCATCACCGTGCAGGTAGGCCATGTGCATAGCTCTGTGGGAGACATGGCCAGCGGATAAGCGGGGCAACTTTCCAAACCCTTGTTCTTTTTCCTCTTCCCATTCCTACCCTACATAAGACTGAGACTTGAGGCTGACCCCATGGTCTGGTGGTTTAGGGGAGCTGCGTTCAAATCCTGGCTTCGGCACCTTGTAAACCATGCCAGGCACATGTATATATGTGCCCTAAATCCCGACAGGATGGAGAAATGGAGGAGAAGGGATTCTAGTGTGATCACACCTCACTGGAGAGAGGAGTGCTTTCTCTTTCTCTCTGGAGAAAGCATAGGTAGTCTGGCAATTAAAAAAAAGAAAAAAAGAGGGACCAGAAGCTGGTGTGGTTGTTAAGGTGCTGGACACTCCCACATGGCCAACCACAGTTTGAGTCCTGGACTTGGTAACTTGCTTTCTCTCTCTCTCTCTCTCTGGTCAAATCGAAATAAATGAATAGATAAATAAAATTAAATAGGTAATTCTTTATAAAAATAAAACAAAAGAATGAAAGGAAAAAGACCAAACTTGGTCCTCTAGTCCTGTGACCCTGACCCACTGTCCAGCTAAGGGTTGAACAGGAAAAAGCAGAGTACCTTTCTGGCTGTCACACCTACTTCATTCATTGCAATGCTAGTCAGGAAAGAAGAGGGGCCCCTGGGCCCTGGCCGATGCTGGGCTCGCCCCTTGACGAAGGCTGTTCTGGAGACATGAGTGTGTTCCCCTCACTGAGTCACGCACTGGGCAGGGCAGTATTGCACCTCCACTTTTCTCTTGGGTAGTGCCCAGCCTGTAAGAGGCCGTTCCGTGGGCTCTGCGATGGTGGGCACCCACACATTTGCTCACTTGGCTGTGGTATAGGTTCAGGGTTTGAGCTCCGGAGTCCGATTATCCTGACTGCCACTACTGGCAACGGGACCCTAAGCCAACATCTCTGAGCCTGTCCAACAGGAATGACAAAGTACTCACTGTAGGACCTTTGGGACACTTACATTTGTCAGTATTTAAATACATATAAATACTTTTTTTTTTTTGGAGAGTTTTTTGCTATAGGGTGCGTGCGCTCGCCAGACAGAGAGAGAGACAGAGAGACAGAAAGTGAGAAATCATCCCCCAGGGGGGATGGCCACACCATAGTCCCTTCTCCTCCATTCTCCTCTTGGGATCTTGGGCACGCACGCACATGCGCCTGGCGTGAGTTTTAAGCCACCAGGTCCAGGACTCGAACCGCGGTTGACTACATGGGAGTCCAGTGACATAGCCATTACGCTAACTGCTGGTCCCCATATAAATACTTGTATAAATATTTGTAAATACTTATAAATATTGGGCCAGCCAGAAGGTGAATGGTTAAGGCAACTGGATCCCACATAGCTGACTGCAGGCTTCGTATCCCAGACCTAGCAGCCTTAGAACCATTCTGGGTGTGTGTGTGTGTGTGTGTGTGTGTGTGTGTGTGCGCGTGCGTGTATGTACCCAAGAGCCTGTGAGGAGAATGGAGAAGAAGGGATGGCAGTGTGGCCATCCGCCTGGGGGATGATTTCTCACTTTTCTTTCCTTGCTTTCTTTCTCTCTCCAGTGAGATACATGCTCTATAGCAATTTAAAAAATTAATTAATTAATTTTAGAGAGAATTTTTTGCTATAGCATGTGTATACTCACTGGAGAGACAGAGACCCAGAAAGTGAGCTTTTTTTTTTTTTTAAGAATTACTTTATTGGGACCAGCAGCATAATGGCTATGTTGCTGGACTCCCATGTAGTCGGCTGTGGTTCACGTCCCGGACCCAGTGACTTAAAACTCATGCCGACCATGTGTGTGCGCATGCCCAAGATCCTGAGAGGAGAATGAAGGAGAAGGGATTGCCGCGTGGCCATCCCCCCTGGGGGATGATTTCTCGCTTTCTGTCTCTCTGTCTCTGTCTGTCTGGTGAGCGCACGTGCCCTATAGCGAAAACCTCTCCAAAAAAAAAAAAAAGAATGATTTTATTTAACTTTATTTATTGATTTTCAATTTGAACAGAGAGCTACAAAGAGAGAAAGTGATAAAGCAAGCAACCAGGTCAGGGATTCGAACCGCAGTCAACCATGTGGTAGTCCGACATCCTTAACTAGAAAGCGAGCTTTCAGCCACCAAGTCTGGGACACAAACCTCAGTCGACTATGTGGGAGTCCAGCAACATAACCATTATGCCATCTTCTGATCCCTTATTTTAAAAAAATTTATCTATTATTATTATTTTTCAATTTGACCAGAGAGAGAGGGAAAGTGAAAAATCAAGCTGCCAGGTCCGGGACTTGACCCGTAGTTGGTCATGTGGGAGTCCAGCGCCCCAATCACCATGCCACCTGCTGGCCCCAAGTTTTTGTTTTATAAAATAAATTTATTTAAGTAAAATAACATATGCAAAGAGTTTCGCATGATGTCTGACCCCAAATAAGTACTCAGAAAGGGGTAGTGGTGATGGTGACAGTGATGGTGCTGCTTTCGTTCCATCGTCATCGTGCAGCGCAAAGACTTCCCCAGCAACAGCTTCTACGTGGTGGTGGTGGTCAAGACTGAAGACCAGGCCTGCGGGGGTTCTTTGCCTTTCTACCCTTTTGTGGAAGGTACAGTTGGTGCCACAGGCTGGCTGGGTGTGGGCAGTGCTCGGTGGTTCCCTGGAGGAAGAACTTGCATGGCTGATAGTGTACCTGATGGGACTTGGGGTTCGGCCCCAGACACTCCGAGGACTGGTCCCACCAATTGTCACCAAACTCCCTGCAACTACTTTGCCGTTTGACCTTTTCCTTCCAGATGAACCGGTTGATCAAGGGCACCGCCAGAAAACCCTGTCAGTGCTGGTGTCTCGAGCAGTCACATGTGAGTGTGGGCGGCTGAGGATGGACAGGCCTCTTTCAGAGGCAGGGCAGAGGGTGTTCTCTGAACGGAAGGGCAATGAGGAACTACTCAGGCAGGCTGTGGGGGAGGAGGGGGTATTCCTAGCAGGCTTCCTGACGGGAAGGGGCCGGCGCGATGTGGTTGGAGAGTTCGTGACTAGGGGTTGTCAGAGGTTCACTCGGACACTGGCCGGCAGTGTAGGCTCATGAGTTTGTTTCCCGAGTTCTCCATCAGACGTAACAAAGTCGACCTCACTGAGTTGTGAGGTTCGGCACAAAGCCCTGGTCAGCGCTCACAAGGTATCTATGGAGCGATTACATGGGGTCCTTGATGAACCTGAAGGTGTACAATAGAAATTAGGGATTGTGTTGGAGGGGAACATGCCGCTCCCGGATAGATTAGTCAGCGGATATTGACTGAGCACCTCCTGCATGCCAGGTGCTGTCACTCTGCCTGGTCCCAGGAGCTGTGACAAGCAAAGGACAGGTCACTGGGAGCACAGAATGGAGAAGGCTTCCCAGAGGGCAGAGTCCCTGAGCTGTGCTGGAAGGTTAAGTCCAGCTGGAGTTCTTGAGAAATGGAAGAGCAGGCCCCACCACAGGGAGCGCCGCGAGTAAGAATAGGATCGTGTCAGCTCCAGCGGACCCAGGGAACCGGCAGGTGTCCGCGCCGGCTGGGGCATTACACCTGAAGGAGAGGGGCCGAGAGATGGGGCTGGCAGAGAGGCCAGACCTCAAAGGCCCTTGGGCGCCTCGGTGAGCCGTGTGGAAAGGTTTCGACGTGCTCCCTTTGCCTTCTCCTTTCCTGCAGCCGAGGCCTACGTTGGTGGGATGCTCTTTTGCCTGGGTATATTCCTCTCCTTCTACTTACTGACCATCCTCTTGGCCTGCTGGGAGAACTGGAGGTGTGGAATTGCGGGGCCCTCCCCTGGTCTGGGCTGTGGGAGGAGATGGCCTGGCAGGAGCTGAGCCGGCCCAGGGTCAGCTTCTCCACCACCCACAGGGATAGGAAGGCAGGACCTTGTTAGGGTCTATGGTCACAGTCCCCTCCTGGAAACCAACCCTTTCCCTTAGCCTTTTTCCTGAGCATGGTGACCCTGCCTTATACCCATCTGAAGGAACCCTGGGATCGAGGGTGGAGGGTAGGGTTATAGGAGACAGGATGGCGGGGTGGGGTGGGGTGGGGGGGCACCCCACACAGAGGGATCCTCATCTTGCCCCATCTGCATGGGCTCCGGGTCTGTCCCTGCAGGCAGAAGAAGAAGACCCTGTTGGTGGCCATGGACCGAGCCTGTCCTGAAAGTGGTACCTCCAGGGCCCTGGGCAGGGAGGGCAGGGCTTGCTTAGTGGATTGGAGGGGAAGGTGCTGGATAGGTCCCTCGGGGTTGGGCAGGAAGGGCGGGGGACTCTTGATGACCACTCTGTGGATGGAAATGGCGCAGGGATATTGCGCCCGGCCACGTGGCGTGCACCCGAGAGGCTGGCTGTCAGCCCCGTGTCTAGCTACACTGACTGCTTTAGCAGCGCGGCCCACGGTTTCTGGGATGATTAACCTCTCATTCTCTCTCCCATTCTTCCACCCCTTGCTTTCCTTCTGTCCTCCCTCCTGCTTGGGACCTTCTCTCTCAGCTTCTCTCCTTGGTAAGCTCCGGGCAGAGGAGCCGGCGTCCAGAGCGGGGGCGGGGTGGAGCATAGGGGCTGTCTTGGGGGGCCCTGGCAGGCCAGGTATTGCTGTCCTTGCTGCTGGTAACCTGGCCGTATCAGTTCCGTGACCTTCCTCAGCGTGGAGGACAGAGGGTGGTGGCGTTTCCGTGGAGACCCTTGTGGGCGGTCAGGGCAGGTGTGGAGGCATGGCTGCCTGGATCAGCGCTTATTCCTCGTTGCTGCGTGGCCTCTCCGTGACTGCCTGGGTCGTCCTTCCCGCCTCCCTGGCGCTCTGCCTCCAGGGCTAAGGAGACCTTGTCCTCTTGTTGCAGGTCACCCTCGGGTCCTGGCCGATTCGCTTTCTTACGAGAGCTGTAACTATGGCTCTTTCGGTACGTATTGGAGACTGCTCACCCACTCACGACCTGGCCTCCCTGGTAGCCACCTGTGAGGTGGCAGAGTGGCAGCTGGCTTCCTCCCGGTGCCCATGGCCTCTAGCTGCCCAGAGCGGGCCCAGCGCCCCTTCCCTGAGGTCCCTCCTCCCTGCCTCAGCGCTCCCCATTCCCTGCAGAGAACGGTTCCGGATCCACCGATGGTCCGGTGGACAGTGGTCTGGTCAACAGCGCAGGCTCCGGGGACCTGTCCTACAGTTACCAGGGTGAGTGGGCCAGGCAGGGAGAGCCGGTGCTGGCGGTGACATGGCAAGTGGGCGGCTCCCCCTCCTGCCAGGTGCTGTGACCAGGGAAGGGCTGCTGTTCTGTCCCTCTCCTCTGTCATCCTTCCCTCCTTGGCCTCGTCCCGGTAACTTTCCCTTTCCTTTAAAGGGCACGACCAGTTCAAGCGGCGCCTCCCCTCTGGCCAGATGCGGCAGCTGTGCATTGCCATGGGTAGATGTGGGGAGGGGGTGGGGCTGCCCTGCCAATCAGCTCCTGCCAGGGCTGTTGACTGGAGCCTGCTGGTTCTGGGGCCACAAAGATGCTCTGTGCATGGCTTTCCTGTCTAATGCCAATAATCACCAGCTCTTGTGTCTTCTGAGATGGCGGGCCCTGGTCCCCTGAAGCCGGCCAGTTGGCCTCTCAGCACCCCCAGGCCAGATGTTCTGGTTTGCTGTCTTCTCTGACAGCCCCTCACTCCCTGGCCTGCAGGGGTCAGGTTCACAGGCAGGGGTGTCACATTCTGGCCTCTGGAGACTTTGGCCTGGTGAGGTCACGGGGAGGAGCTTCTGAAGGCACCAGATGAAGCAGAGATGCTCATGCTGGCCAGAGCCTCTTGCCCGCGCCCCAGGCCTGCTGGGTCTTTTAACCCAGTGGGGGCCGAGCAGTGTCTTCTCAGAACCCGCAGGGCTGCACACCGTCTAATCAGCATGACTTGCCGAGTTCAGGCCTGTTGCTTGTGTCTGGGGCGTGGGGTCTGCTCAGTGTCCTGGCCTGGGAAGTCCCGGCTCAGTGAGGGGAGCCAGGAGTGGAGTGAAGCTGGGCCGGGTCCTGTTGGGTAACCTCCTTGCAGAGCCCCCCCCTTGCTTCCTGCCAGGACTTAGAGCACCCCAACTCCCCTCCCAGGGCCTGAGCTCACCCCACATGCTCTGAGCCCCTGGCCCACTGTTTTCCTCTTCCCCAGTGCCTAGTAATTTGGGCAATTGCCTTGAACGGGGGGGCAGACCTCGGACTTCGGGCCCATCAACACAACCCCTCCTTCCTCCGTCCCTGCCCTGCCCAGACCGCTCCTTAGACTCAGCGGGCACTCGGCCACGTCTGGACTCCATGAGCTCCGTGGAGGAGGATGACTACGACACGCTGACCGACATCGATTCAGACAAGAATGTCATTCGCACCAAGGTCTGACACCCTATGGGCCTGGCCCTGGTTGGGCTTCCCGAGGAAGGGACACTGGGCTCAGGCTGCAGTGTGCAGGTCTACGAGGGAACCAGGGAGCGAGCGCAGAGGGGGCAGGATGGACTCAGGGAAACGAACTCCACCTCCAGCCCCTTCCGCACTGCTCGGCCAGGCCCTCCTGGTCTAACCGGCCGCAGTCCTGAATTCTGGCCTGTGTGAGGAGGGCCCCCTTGTGCCCTCCCAGCCTGGGTGGGGAAGTGGGGCTCACTCGGCTTCTCCCCAGCAATACCTCTACGTGGCTGACCTGGCCCGGAAGGACAAGCGCGTGCTGCGGAAAAAGTACCAAATCTACTTCTGGTGAGGGGGCTGAGCTGGGGGCCGTGGCCCTGGGCGGCATGGCGGCTCCTCGGGCCTCCCCGCCTCACTGCCGCCCTCCCTCCAGGAACATTGCCACCATCGCGGTGTTCTACGCGCTCCCCGTGGTGCAGCTGGTGATCACCTACCAGACGGTGAGAGGGCAGGGCCGCCCCCCTGGGGCTCTGGAAGGAGCACGGGTCTGAAGTCAGGGGGCCTGGGTTCAAACCCCAGCTCTGCCTGGCCAGGTGATGCCCTTGGGCAAGTCACTTAACCTCCCTGGCGTCGTCAGTTTCTCCGTCCGCAAATCGGGCGGCGTGTTCCTCATATCACTGTCCTGGGTGGAGGTGGGGCTTGGGAGTGAAAGCCCCAGGATCTATAAGGGTGGCTTCCCTTCCTGTTTCTCTGTATTGTGGGGCAAGAACTTACGTCATGGTCATGCCACGGGATTTTCAGCCCCACCTAAGGAGGGGACAGTGACTGTGCTGCCCTGGTGCCCCTTTTTATTTATTTGTTTTTTAAAAGAATTATTTTTTATTTAACTTTATGTATTTGTCCATTCCAATTTGACCAGAGAGGGACAGAGAGAGAGAGAAATGAGAAAACAAGCCGCCAGGTCCAGGACCTGAACCATAGTCGGCCATGTGGGAGTCCAGCGCCCTTAGCCCCCGTGCCACCTGCCGGTCCCACGGTGCCCCTTTCAAATGGAGAGTGTGCCTGGAGTGCCGTAGCACACACGCCAGCTGGGGCAGCACCTGCTCTCTTTTGCCACATGGGCTGGGCCGGCGTGGGCCTCTGGCTGAGTCAGGTGCATTAGCGGCCCCTCTCACCCCCCACTGCAGGTCGTGAATGTCACGGGGAACCAGGACATCTGCTACTACAACTTCCTCTGTGCCCACCCACTGGGCAACCTCAGGTGAGGGCCGTGCGTGGGGCGGGTGGCGAGCGGGGCGGGGGCAGAAGTTTTGCTGGGGGGGATAGGCTTGGGTGTACGGCAGGGCCATCGCCTGTACTGCCTTTTCCAGCGCCTTCAACAACATCCTCAGCAACCTGGGCTACATCCTGCTGGGGCTGCTCTTCCTGCTCATCATCCTGCAGCGCGAGATCAACCACAACCGGGCCCTGCTGCGCAACGACCTGCACGCCCTGGTGAGCGCACCTGCCCTCGCAGCACACGCCCTCTCAGTTCACTACACGCTTTCCTTTCCGACAGGCCTGGCCCCGCCCTGCTCGCCCTGCTCTGCTCTGCTTTCTCCTGCCCTGCCTTACACAGTCCTGCCCTGCCCTGCCCTGCCCTGCCCTGCCCTGCCCTACCCTACCCTGCCTTGCCCTGCACTGCCCC